TTCATTTCCCACCTATCTTTTTTCCTTCCTATATTTCCTCTGCTGTAACTAGCCACCTTCCCCCCGTCCACCACATACACTGTTTCTTCCACCTAGCTGCCGGTCCTTCTCAGAGGGAGGGAGGGAGGGACAGGGAAGGCAGGACCTGCTCACCCCCCCAGTGCCTGGCAGCCACAAAAGCAGGCAACCAGATTAGTCCAGAAGATAAGAAAGCAATTGAATTAGTGTCCTGCTATAACCCCGTAAATGCAGGCAAGATGGAAGCTAAATTTCTGCTTTCATCGTAACTAATTGACAGTTGCTGTCTACAAGGTGCTTCTTAGCTTCAGTTAAACAACAGAAAATGAAACATTAACTGGTAATAACTGATAAAGTGGGTACAAAAAAAGGGCAGAGTGGCTGAAAGGACAGGAGCCATTTTTAATTAAAGACTTTTCTCTAGCTCCCTGCAGCTCCCTTTCTGGCATGAGCGCCAGTTCCTGTGCCAGCCTGTGCAGGGGCAGGTCGATGCAGGTGCAAAGGGCAGGCTGCAGTGGTCTCCACGCTGCTCCCTGGATAGCTTCATGTCTGCCTCCCTCCCGTAGGTAAGGCTTTGCTCTCGGCTTCCTTCATATATAAAACCCAGAAAAGCAGCACAGTATAGCAGGTGAGATGAAAGTGAGTGTGGCTGGGCCACAAGCTGCTGGAGAGACACAGGCAACTGTCGAGGTACAGGAGGAGAAAAGGCAACCTCAGAAAATTTAAGGCTATTTAAAAATAAAAGGGCATATATATGTATACATGCTTATGTTCTAGGATGTTCATTGCTCCCGATGTTTCACTTCAAAGTGTGAAAGGACAATGTGTAACTACTTATAAGTTAATACACTTATATTAACATTTTTGAAGAAGTGTAATAGTGAAACCCTATAAAGTATTTTAGGGTATTGAAATATTTTCTTGATGTTGAAAAACTACAGGTCCAAGAGGCACAAGCCAATATCTGATTAGAGTGCACAATGCTAGAATTCACTGATTTCTATGTTGAATATCCCTACAGAGCTAATGTTCTGCAAGACCTTCTCTGCCACAAGATGGATAATCCTGAAATGTACATGGCTTTATTCTTTGCTCAATGTTCCCATGACACCAAGAGTAAAAGGAAGTGCATAGCATAAACTACAGAAGTATAGGTTCTTCAGCTGAACTCAGCAAATAAATCAGGTTTGATTTAGCCCTTGCTAATAAACTAGGATCAGTTCCTATGACAAGTCATCACTCTTGGTCCTAACTCCCAAACAAGTCAGGGAAGAAGATGGACACTGTGAGACCACAAACCTCCAGATTGAAAGAACCTGGGATGGGGGGTAGCTTGAGCATGAAATGCAAGTCTACCAAAATATTTTGCTCTAGGATAACTATTATCTCTTCTGTTACTGTGTCCAGAGAAGACTCCTTCTAAAGCTAAGAGTGAATGTTTAACAAATGGCTCATGTACAAATTTTTGTGATAATATGCAAAATACTAGAGAGTTTAAAAGCGTCTCAGGCCATCTGAGATAGCAGTGCCTTAGAGAACATCCGATAAGAGTAGGTAAATAAAGGAAGAAAAACAGCCTGTACTGTGGGCCCGAGAGGGGGTTACTTCCCAGAAACTACTAGCCAGATACACCAAACTGGTGTAGCTCCACAAGCCTGCAGCTGGCATGCATTTAAACAAGAGGGAAGGGGTGACAACCACCTTCTCAAAT